GGTTCTTTTGAGATGAAACACTGGAAAATAAACATTTTTTAAAGTGGAGCCAGACAGATGTAGGACGCCTCGTCCAGCCAGATGCAGAACTTGGTTTCATGCTTTCAGTGAGGATTTGAGACGAGAGGAAGGATTAAAGCTGTGAAGCTCAAGAGGAAGCTCTCCCTCTGCCATCTTGCCCTCTTTCGCTTACGCTCCTCCTCCTGCATACTGCTTCTCCTCCCTCCGCCACATCTCCTTCTCCCTCCCTGAAATCTGAATGTTAACGGATGTGTATCTCTCTCCCTGAACTTCACCTATGACTTCCCAGGTGCCAGGCACAGTAAACAAGCACCCCTCAGTTTATCCTGAAACGCGCCAGGCGACGCCACTCACTTTCGCCGTGTTGCACGGACACGTCCCTGTCGTGCAGGTAGTGACGTTTATGACCTGTAACCACTAACCTCTGGCCTTGCCCTCACCTTTGTACTAAAATGAGGATAATGATGACGATTGATGTGGTTCATCGTGATAATGATGGTGCCAGATGTCCTTTTCTTTCTCCTTCCTTGCTCCTGGTTGTGCAGTGATTATTAAGAAGACTTAGCTGACTGTTGAAACACGTGATCCCACTCTCTGTTACTTTATGATCTGCTGCAGGAAACTCCCAGAGCTGAGCTAAACACAGCAGCTCAGACATCTTGATACACAGCCTCGGGGATGCCAAGTGTCTCTTCATTCTCAATAAATTATAAGTTAGGTTGCATTTTCAGCACAGTTGCCTCTGGAATTAGTATTAATATTCATCCACACAATCAGAATTTTGGCAACAGGAAAAGAAATTCTTCCTCCTCGGCTCAACATCCGAAACAGCAGTATAGCTAGGCGTGTGTTTAGCAGCCAGACCTCTCCATACGAGATCTCCAGACGTCTGTTATTCTTGCAAAGCCTAAATGTAACACCCCATCTTCTCCTTGCTTCTTTTCCTCCTCTGTATTTTCCCATCTTGTTTGTCTCTCCCTCCATCACTGCCACAGCTGCTGCTGGATAATAGAGCCAATGTGGAGGGCGCCCTGCAGGATGGGGCGGAGAACTACACGGAAACGCCACTTCAGCTCGCCGCCGCAGCAGGTATAAGCACATACGAGACTCAGAACTGGGAGGATCTTATTCAAAATGCATACATTATTATTCCTGATGGTTTACTGTGAGCGCACCAGAGAGCAATCTCACTCTACTTTAATCATCTGATTAATTCATCACCTTTAGTTAATCCCTTTGATTCAATAAAGCTTGTCACAACTGTATGGGAAAAACAGCAGTGTATCAGATATTAATGAAAAGATATAATTATATCATCTCTATTATTAAATGCAGTTTTACGCCCAACTGACGAGTTTCCCAAGTTAAAATAATGTGAAGAAAAACAAAGAATGACCCTAATTAAATCAAATCATCTCGATCCCCTTTAAAAAAAAAAAACATTTCAATGATCTTACTGCTGAACGACCCAAACAAGCAGAATAGACAAACATTTGGAAATGTCTGGTAAAGTCACCGTTTGTGTCCAGAAATGTCATCAAATAGAAAAATAAATCCATCCATCCATCCATCCATTTTCATCCGCTTATCCAGAGCTGGGTCGCGGGGGCAGTAGCCTAAGTCGAGAGGCCCAGACTTCCCTCTCCCTAGCCACTTGGGCCAGCTCCTCCGGGGAAATCCCACGGCGTTCCCTGGCCAGGTGAGAGACATAGTCCCTCCACCGTGTCCTGGGTCTACCTTTAGGTCTCGTCCCGGTTGGACGTGCCCGGAAAACCTCACCAGGGAGGCGTCCAGGAGGCATCCTGACCAGATGCCTGAGCCACCTCAACTGGCTCCTCTCGATGTAGAGGAGCAGCGGGTCTACTACGAGCCCCTCCCGAATGACCGAGCTTCTCCCCCTATCTCTAAGGGAGAGCCCAGCCACTCTTCAGAGAAAATTCATTTCGGCCACTTGCATCCGCGATCTCATTCTTTCGGTCACTACCCAAAGCTCATGACCATAGGTGAGGGTAGGAACGTAGATTGACCGGTCTCAGATTTAGAGGAGCTCATTCTCATTCCAGCTGCTTCACACTCAGCTGTGAACCGCTCCAGCAAAAGCTGAAGATCACGTTCTGATGAAGTCAACAGGGCCACATCATCTGCAAAAAGCAGAGATCTGATCCTCAGGCCACCAAAATGGATGCCCTCCACACATTGGCTGCGCCTAGAAATCCTGTCCATAAAGGTTATGAACAGAATCGGTGACAAAGGGCAGCCTTGGCAGAGTCCAACTCTCACTGGGAATGAGCCCGACTTACTGCCGACAATGCGGACCAAGCTCTGACACCGGTCATACAGGGACCTAACAGCCCGTATCAATATTAAACTTCCGCCCTAGTATTTAAAACCACTAAATAACGGGAGAGTTAAAAGGGAAGTGTGTTATTACAGAAGAACAAGTACGACAATGTTCATTTCACCTTAAGCTAGAAAACGAGTTCTAAATTAGGGAGTCCAAACCAGGGTCAGTACAATAAAACTCACCTGCGGCCCCAATCTCCCTGAAAATGCAGCGTATTCTAAGGTTCTAACGGAACCAATGAAAGCACACGCTCGCGACAGTCTTAACTGTAGTTTGGTGCATAAGCACAGACCAAAGTCAGAACCCGTCCCCCCACACGTAGGTGGAGGGAGGCTACCCTCTCATTCACTGGGGTAAACTCTAACGTACAGGCACCAAGATGGGGGGGCAACTAGTATGCCCACCCCTGCTTGGCGCCTCTCAGTGGGAGCAACTCCAAAGTGGTAGAAAGTCCAACCCCTCTCAAGGAAACTGGTTCCAGAGCCAGAACCATGCGTTGAGGTGAGTCCGACTATATCTAGTCGGAACCTCTCAACCTCACACACCAACTCGGTCTCCTTCCCCACCAGAGAGGTGACATTCCATGTGCCAAGAAACCGCTTCTGTAGCCGAGGATCAGACCGCCAAGGTCCCGCCCTCGAATACCACCCGTCACACACTGCACCCGACCCCTTTGGCCCACGTTTCCTCTTCGGGCTGTGCCCGGCCGGGCTCCATGGGTGAAAGCCCGGCCACCAGGCGCTCGCCAATGTGCCCCACCTCCAGGCCTGGCTCCAGAGGCGGGCCCCGGTGACCCACGTCCGGGCGAGGGAACATGGTTTCCATTTAAATAATTCATCATAAGAGGTCTTCGGGCTGCTCTTTGTCTGATCCCGCACCTAGGACCTGTTTGCCGTGGGTGACCCTACCAGAGGCATAAAGCCTCAGAAAACTTAGCTCCTAGGATCATTGAGACACTCAACCCCCTCCACCACGGTAAGGTGGCAGCCCAGGGAAAGGTAAATAAATCCATAGATTTTTATTATAACTGAACAAGTAGAATGTTGTGTTTTCTTTATGCATAGGTTCATTTATTTCTACAGTATGTTGTTCAATCAGAAATTTTTTTTTTGTTAGTGTTTCTTTTTGGGATGAGCTAACATCCCCACATTTGTTAATTTACTTCTATTTTAAGTTAAAACAAAAATACTAAACTTGAATCTGGAGCTAATAAATCACTTCTAAATTTCTCAAAGACAGCTTTTAGTATTTAAAACAAATGTCTTCATTTAAAACTTCACTCAGAAGCAAAAGATTGTTGGCTAAACCTCTCTAGTTGGCCCTAAGTTGACATAAAGCTATGCTAAATAGTAGCTAAATTAAAATAGTCAAAAGTCTTAGAAAATCATCAACTAACAGTTTTTCCTTTATTCAAAATTTGTGCTGTTTTATTGAAACTGTTAGGCTGTAACTTGTTCCACTTTTGTATATACTCATCTTTTACCTACATTAAAAATCTTCACTCGATTACGATTGAATTAATCTTGTTTCCGAGCTGAAATGCAATCGTGTTCCATTAACCTTCGGGAAAGCCTCGTTGCCATGGTAACAAGAGGTTAAAACTCACCACCCACAGAAAATGAGTTACATTAAACACCCAACTAATTAAATAATAAATAATGTAGGTGACATAAAGACCATAAGGACCAAAGCTAATTTTGCTAATGAAGCTTTTTTTGAGTAAACATATCATTTGTTGGGAGTTTCAGACTCCAGATGAGCATTGGACTCATTTAATTGTTGTTTAATAAATAATAATTTTTCTAATACCATACTGATCCGATTATAAGATGACTTCCCTTTCCAAGACTAATCTTCAGGAAAACAACAAAAAATAAATCACTTTTTAAAATAAACTATTTTTATTGAAAATTTGTGAAAAAATACTGAGCAAAAATACAATTTTAATGCAAACTATCAGAACTTTGCTGAAATTTGAAATCAAAAGTCAAATGAGGCTTTTATTCGCAGATGTCCTCTGCCTTGCTGAACTCACTATCATGCTGCTGCGGTCCCGGTGTACCATCAGATCGCTCCACCAGTCATTAACGTCAGCCTCACTGCCATCCAAGGCATCCATGACTGCAATGTTTGACGCCTCTGCTGAATTGAACACCGTCATCTTAAAATTTGCATAACTATGCCTTTGTAGCTTGTTAACTTGCCCAACCTTCAGTCCACTCTTCTCCGGACCGCTCGTCTCCATTTTTTTTTCTCTTGTTGAAAACATACAGCCTGGCGCCCTCTACTGTTAAGGGCATGTAATGACCCCAGACAAATAGCATGTGTGAATGCATAGACCCTGATTATAAGACGACCCCACATTTTTTAATTATTTTCAATGGAAAAACCTTGTCCTATGTTCGGGCCAATTCGTTACTATCTGGTGCACGCTTTAAAAAAAACCTGCGTGAGAAAATCTGCAAAGCTTTGATGTAAAATTCAAATAAGAAATCTAAGGAACATTTAAGAAAATATCAATGGAGATTACAGAAATGGGGTTAAAAGTGCCCAACACATTATTAAAATGTCTTCCTAGAAGAAATCTTGACTGAACACCTAAACATTGAAATAAACAATTAAACTGATGATAAAAGTAATAATTATCCACAAACACAATGTGGAGTGAACTATTGGGACTGAAGCCCTGTGTAGCCATAAGAAAACCATTAATTAGTCATGCTAACAGGAGAAAAAAGCTTGTTTGCAAGGGAGCATCAATACTGGAGCCTGGAGCAAAGGAAGAAGGTCATGTGATCTGGTGAGTCTAGATGGACCCTGTTCCAGAGTGATGGAGGCATCAGAGTAAGAAGAGAGGCAGATGAAGCGATGCACCCATCATGCCTACTGTACAAGTCTGTGGGGGCAGGACTATGATCTGGGCTTGCTGCAGTTGGTCAGGTCTAGGTTCAGCAACAGGATGCATAAAAAGAATGAGCACAGATGACTAATATACTACATAACCAGGTTTTTCCCTCAATGGATTTGTTCTTCCTGATATAGGTACCAGATTTAATCGGGCCCTACACCTGCCGGTGACATCACACTATATGATTAGCTGGACATTGATGTAGAAGATTTTGGTTGGTCTGGACAAATTGCAGAATTTACGTTGGCAAATAATATACTCCGCTAGCCAGATCTGCGCGGGATTGGAGACAAGAATCATTCTCACACTTGGAACTTGCAACTACAGAGTCCAGGCCTTAACCCCATTGACAATCGCTTGGATGTGCTGGAGAAGGCTCTCTGCAGTAGTCGGACTCTACCATCTTCAATACAAGATCATGGTGAAAAATTAATGCAACACTGACTGGAAATAACAGACGCTAATGAATGAAAGCCATGGCAAATATGTTTCCATAATCAAAGCTAAAGGAGGTCCAATTAAATATTAGACCGTTTTTGGGCTAGGCATTGTATCTTATTGAATTATTCTAAATGCTGCTCGGTATTATCACAAAATGTGCAACATGTGTGTGCTTATTTGTTTTTAAAATGCTCCTTAGGTAACTTTGAGTTGGTGAGCTTGCTTTTGGAAAGAGGAGCCGACCCCATGATTGGGACATTGTGTCGAAATGGCATCTCCTCCGCCCCGATGGGAGACATGAACTCCTTCAGCCTGGCAGCATCACACGGACACAGGTGATACAAGCAATCACACACAAGCTCCCGTCTCTGTAAATCCATCCATTACCACACTATTGATCCATTTACAAGCCCTGCTTTCTGCTCCATCTGCCCCCTCACTAAATCCTGCAGCACATGAGACGTCTCAGTTTCTCTACCGGAGAGTGGGGCGGTGATGAGCTCCACAGTCTTTTCGTCTGCACTCCAATGCAGCTAAATAAGATAATGCTCATTAACATTCAGGGCGGTGGGGAAATGGAGTGGATCGAGTAGCGACAGGAGCACAATGAAGCATTATTAAGACAATCAATTATAGAGTGGTGATCATGCTGCAATGTGTTGTGAGCAGGTTTTAACTGAATTAGAGACAGATGAGATGCAGGTTAGGAAACTTAGACAGCTTTTTTTAAGTGTTTCTCTTTCACCCACGTTAGATGAACCAACCACTGTTCTGATGAAGTTGAACAGTTTTAGACATCCAATTATTTTCTCCTAGCATTATATTTTCAAACTTTCTAGTCATATAGCAATCAAAAAGTGGCCAAAAGTAGCAAACTGGCCAAGCTCTGACTAATTATTGGTGTGGGTTTGATCTTAGTAACTGAATGTTCCGAGGACTGGAGTTGAAAGTCCCGCTTACTTATCATCACAATGTTTTTATCAACAAAAATTTTTATTTATCATTGTTTGGTTTTTTTTTCAGTTTGGAAAAAGTTTCATTTATTTACATGGAGGAGGGCAGAGCTTTGAACTCCTACTGTTTTGTGTCAGTATAGGTGAAACTGTCAGGTTTGGTGGCAGAGCTGAAGCGTGGCTGAGAAGGTCTGTTGCCCAGACGCAGAGTGGTGGAGATAAACAGCGTGGTTTAGATCATTAAGGTTAGGTTTAAGGGCTGGTAAGCCTGGGAACTCGAAACAAAGTCGGGTAGGAACGATGACAGAGTAATGAATGAATGCCGGCACTTCCGTTTATAGTGCCGGCGTGATGACCTCAGCGGCCACGTAGGTGGCGGGAATGATGGGAAGTAGTGGCGAGAATGCCGGGAATAGGAGTCAGCTGGAGGAGTTCATGACAGGACCCCCCACCCCCCCACCCCCCGAGGGACGGCTCCCGAAGTCCCAGGACGGCGGGCCCAGAAGTCAGATAGCAGGGTAGGGTCGACAAACGAGCTTGTGAGCTCCCAAGAGCGCTCCTCCGGGCCGTATCCCTCCCAGTCCACCAGGTACTGCCAACCACGTCCCCGGCGGCGAGCGTCCAGAACCTTGCAGACTGTGTAGATGCGATCCTCCTCCACACAGTGGGGCGGAGGCACCCGGGTCGTCAGAGGGTGGAGAGGAGAGGAGACCACCGGCTTCAGCTGGGAGAGGTGAAATACCGGGTGGATCCGGAGAGCAGCCTGGAGGCGCAGACGGTAAGTGACTGGATTGATGACCCTGAGGACAGGGAACGGACCCAGGAAGCGAGGAGTGAGCTTCCTGGAGCCAGCCTGCATCCTCAGGTTGGCGAAGGAGAGCCACACCTGGTCGCCAGACCGGAAGACGGGGCCAGGCCGGTGGAGGCGGCGATGTTGATGGGCATACTCCATGTTGGTCCGGGTGATGGCCGCACGGGCTCGGATCCAGGCGAGCCGACAGCGGCGGACCAGCGTCTGGGCAGCAGGGACCTCCACCTCAGGCACCTGATGGTCAAACAGAGGGGGCTGGTACCCATAACAGGTCTTGAAGGGAGACAGACTCGTGGCAGAGGAGGTCTGGAGGTTGTGGGACAGTTCCGACCACAGGAGGAAGCGGGGCCAGGTGGTCGGCTGGGACGAAGCGAAGCAGCGCAAGTAGCGTCCAAGCTGCTGGTTAGCTCTCTCTGTCTGACCGTTCGTCTGTGGATGGTACCCAGAGGACAGGCTGGTGGACGCGCCGACCAGGCGACAGAACGCTTTCCAGAAGCGTGAGACGAACTGGGGTCCTCGGTCGGAAACCACTTCCTGAGGGAAACCATGGAGCCGCACCACCTGTTCGAGGAGCAGTTCGGCCATTCTCTTGGCAGTGGGGAGGCCGGCCAGGGCCACTAAGTGCACGGCCTTGGAGAAACGGTCCGTGATAGTCAATATGGTGTCCAGGTGGTCGACGGCCGGCAGTCCCGTGACAAAGTCCAGCCCGATGTGTGACCACGGCTGCTTGGGCACAGAGAGAGGCTGTAAATCTCCAGCGCCAGGTCGGTTAGAGGACTTGGATCGAGCACACACATCACATGCAGCCGTGAACTCATGGAAATCCTTCCTCATGGACGGCCACCAGAGAGCCTGACGGAGGAACTGGAGGGTACGGGTTTGTCCTTGATGTCCCGCGAGCCGTGAACAATGCCCCCATGTGAGTGCCTCTTTTCGGCAGGAGACCGGAACGTAGAGACGGTTCGGTGGAGTCTCTGGGGGCGCCGGATCGCCAGGAAGTGCGGCCCGTATGGATTGCTCCAACGGCCATTGGAGGGAGGCCAGGAAGAGTTGGGTCGGCAGAATGGTCAGAGGCTCCGGGGGTTTGAATCTGGAGCGAAACGCCGAGAGAGAGCGTCCGCCTTGAGGTTCTTGGAGCTGGGCCGGTAGGCGATATGAAAGTTGTATGGCTCGAAAAAGAGGGCCCACCAAGCCTGACGAGGGTTGAGTTGGCGGGCAGTCTGTAGATGGATGAGGTTCTGGTGGTCGGTCCAGATCAGAAAAGGGTCGGTGGTCCCCAAGAGTCACTGCCGCCATTCCTCCAGAGCCCATTTTATTGCCAGCAGTTCTCTGTCGCCGACCCCATAGTTCTGCTGTGTGGGGGAGAACTTCCGGGAGAAGTAGGCGCATGGGTGGAGCTTAGAGTCCAGACCCTGTTGCGAGAGGATGGCCCCCGCTCGCACATCAGAGGCGTCCACCTCCACGACGAAGGGCCGGGTTTGGTCCGGGTGGAGGAGGATGGGTTCCTTAATAAAACGCCCAACCAGCTCATGGAAAGCACGGACAGCCTCTGGAGTAAGGCGGAAAGTGCGAGGCTGGTTGGTGGTTTTAGTGAGTGAGGTCAGAGGCGCTGCGAGGGAGCTGAAGTTGCGTATGAACCTCCGGTAAAAGTTCGAGAAACCCAGGAAGCTCTGCAACTGCTTCAGGGTCGTTGGTAGAGGCCACTGAGCTACTGCCTGAACCTTCTGAGGGTCCATCTTCAGGCCCCAGGAGGAGATGGTAAAACCCAGGAAGGAGGTGGACTCCTGTTGAAACGCACACTTCTCCAGTTTGCAGTACAGCTCATGATCCAGAAGGCGGGACAGAACAGCCCGAACATGCCGGATGTGCTCTTAGGCCGTGCGGGAGTAGATGAGGATGTCATCTAGATATACAAAGACCCAGCGACCCAACATGTCTCTTAGCACATCTGTAATGAACCGCTGGAAGACGGCGTGGCAGTTGCAGAGGCCAAAAGGCATCACTAAATATTCATAGTGGCCGGTGGGCGTGACAAACGCGGTCTTCCACTCCTCCCCCTCCTTGATACGGATCAGGTTGTAAGCGCTGCGCAGGTCCAGTTTGGTGAATTTGACAGCTTGGGTGATGGCGTCCAGGGCGGTGCCCATGAGAGGAAGAGGGTGACGGTCCCGGAGCGTTATTTTATTTAACCCTCGATAGTCAATGCAGGGCCGGCGAGGAGGCAGCCTGGTAGTGGGTTCTTTAGCAAAGACCTGAGCGAGGTCGTGGTATTGAGGAGGAACGAGCGTCAAGTCTACGTCCTTGGGTGGAGTTACTCCAGGCTGCGTTGTGGGGGAGCCATGGTGGTTCTGGCACCCGCGCCCCAGGCCAAGACCTTGCTGGTGGACCAGGAGATGTGAGGCTCATGACGGCAGAACCAGGAATGACCCAGGATGAGTGGCGTAGCCGGAGCCTGGATGACCAGGAAGTGGAGGGTCTCCAGGTGTTGGTCAATAGTCATGTGGAGACCCTGGGTTCGGTGGGTGAGAGGGTACGGCATGATTGGCCGGCCGTCCACAGAGGTCACAGGGATGGATCGGCCGAGGGCAGTGAGGGGTATTTTGAGCTGAGTAACCAGTCCTTGATCGATAAAACACTCCGCGGCCCCAGTGTCTAAAAGAGCCTCCAGTCTGGTCGGACCTTGGTCCAGGTGGAGGGAGACCGGGAGAGTGGTGCGGTGTGGAGCCGGAAAAGTGGAGACTCCGGGCGGGACAGCTCCTACTCCGACCCGGAGGGACCCTTTCCCGGTCTTCTTGGGCACGTGCCACGGTGGTTACCCAAATCCCCATAGTACGCGCATCGTCCCTCCTGATAGCGCAGTGCCCGTTCCTCAGGGGGGAGATGTCCGAGCTGCATCGGCTCCTCCGTCGGTTGGTGAGCCGGACGACGGGACGACGTTCTGGTGTGGATGGGAGTTGACGTGGTGCTCGGCCTGTTCAGGATGCAGCGGTCCAGCTGGAGAGCCAGATCCACAGCCAGGTCCAGGGAGGTTGGGGCCTCGTGTCTGATCATGCCCTCCCGGATTCTAGGTGACAACCCCTCCAGATAAACGGCCTTTAGGGCGGCATCATCCCACCTCAACCGAGCGGCTGTCGTCCGGAAGCGAGAGGTGTACTGAGCCGCCGTCTGGGAGCCCTGGCGAAGCTGAAGCAGCCGAGTCTCGTCCGAGACCTCGCTGCTGGGGTGAACAAATGTATTTTTCATCTCCTTCACAAAAGTCTCATAGTCGTTGCAGGCAGGAGATTTCTGATTATAAAGAGCCGCCGCCCATTCACCGGCTCGACCCGTCAGCAGTGAGGTCAGCAGGGAGACACGAGAGCAGGAAGTGGGGTAGCGTGCCGGCTGGCACTCAAAAGTCATTGCCAGGGTCGCCAGCATGCCCTCCGGGGACCCCCTGGTTCCGTCCCACTTATCTGGAAGGCTGAGGCATGGCTCCATCGGCTCAGAGACACCGAGGTCCGTCGTTGCAGGGCAGTAGTAAGCTGGAGAACTAGCTCGGTGAGTGACTCGATCTTTGTGGCTTGGCGATCAG